TCTGGTTTGGTCCTACCCACATACAGAGAGAAGCAGCCCTGATCCTGTCTGCTGCATGTTTCCTCCTTTATCGTTTTCCAGTAGACCCCACCACCACACACACACCTACACACACCTCCACACACATACACACACACAGACACACACACACACACCTCCACCTTCACTGTAATTCTGCAGCTACACTCTGAAATCGAGGCCATCATCCTGCTTCTGGTTTGGTCCTACCCACATACAGAGAGAAGCAGCCCTGATCCTGTCTGCTGCATGTTTCCTCCTTTATCGTTTTCCAGTAGACCCCACCACCACACACACACCTACACACACCTCCACACACATACACACACACAGACACACACTATCTGTAGCCTGCATCACCTCTTCCGATCCAGGACCTTGTTATGACTACCAGTTGTCTGTTAGACAGTAAACTTTACAACTCAAGTGTTCAGGAAGTGTGAGTCTGCATCCTGCACCACATAAACTGGAACCTGGAACATTTTATGATATTTACTACTTTAAAATGGCATCTAAATAAAAGAGTTAATTTATGCCACAATGTGTTTACTTGTACCATTTAGTTAGATTTGACATAAAGTTATATTACTGCYGCTATCTGTTAGGTATTTACCATGTTTTTACCAAGGGTTCGGTTACTGAGATGAAAAGGTCCACAGAGACCACAGATAAGCAAACAAACAAGAGCACAAAGGAATGACTGAAGTAGGGCTGCAACAACTAATCAATAAAATCAATTATTAAATGAATTGGCAACAAATGTCGTTATCAGTTTGTTGTGTCAGGCAATGTGTGATGGTATTAATTTAAAACCCAAACCAGGGTGACAAGTGAATTTTGTGCTCATTATTAAACTTGTGAACAAACTGAGGATGGTTTATTTCAGGTTTGATTTAGTGAAGAGCTCATAAAGAATAAAGCTGACATTTCTCATTGGACAGAAAGCTGCAGTGATGGACACCCTGCTACAGTATACTGTATGTGTTAAGGTCCAGTTCTGAGTACTGAGCCTGTTTCACAAGACTTTTCATTGTGAGCACGATGGCTCAGTGGTTAGCACCGACGCCTCACAGCAAGAAGGTCCTGGGTTCGATCCCCAGTTCAGACCTGGGGTCTTTCTGTGTGGAGTTTGCATGTTCTCCCCATGATTGTGTGGGTTTTCTCCGGGTACTCCGGTTTCCCCCACCCCCCAAAAACATGTACAGAAGGTTACCTTCAGGCCCAGACCTCCTTTAAATAAGATCTGAGATCTGAACGGGACTTGCCTGGTTAAATAACGGKAAATCAATAAATCTCCCATGTTCTCCTTGCAACAGTATGTACTGATGACTTGATTCTTTCTAAGGTTTTTRATACATAAAAATGTGAAAACTGTTGGGAGAGGTCAGCTCTGATATTTTGGGATCTGTGGAACTAGRCAAAAGAAAACTGGAAACAGGTAAAGAATAATGATCAGGCTTGTTGAGGGATTTAGATCCTCCTAACCAATGTCCTCAATCTTTATGGCAAGAAGCTCTTGAATTCCAGTAAATACATTCTTTTCATCAAGAGGTAATTGGCAGAAAAAGAATGCAAGTTTGCTGTCTGAGTTCAGCTGAGAGAGAATTGGTTCAACACCAGAATCTGAAGCTGCAGGAGAGATCAGGATGGATGCTGTGGTCAAAGGCCTCTTCAGGTTTGGGGGACCAGATGGAGGTTTGGTTGATGGAGGTTTGGTTGATGGAGGTTTGGTTGATGGAGGTTTAGTTGATGGAGGTTTGGTTGATGGAGGTTTGGTTGAT